TTAATAATCCTTGACGGTACGGCGGAAGACCTGACGTCCCGCCTCGTGCTCGCCCTTGATGAACTCGCGCAGTCCATCCTCTTGCTCCTTGGTGATGACACGTCGCCCGTCGTCGACGCTGGTGGCCTTGCCTCGCCCCTTCCCGTTGGTCTCGTACAACTCCTGCTTGTCATACCAGAGTGTGCGAACCGCCAGGACCTTGTCCGTACCGATCCTCAAGGTCTTCGCGACCTGATAAAGATGGGTCATCCACACAGAGGGAGGGTGGGAAAAAGTTTGTAAGAATACAGCAGTGTATTGCGTTGCAGTGTATGGCGTTGGTGTACGAAAGCCGGTGTTAAAGGGACGGCAGAGTGNAGCGCACGCGAGGAGAATGGTGTTGCCATGCACATACATTCCTTTACATTCAGCGGTACAAAGCGCTGTAACTNAATATTGGGTGGGATGTATGTATATTTTGTTTTTCTCCCATCATTGGACTCTGTCGTCTGCCCCTCTGGCCCCTATCCTCCACTTCTACTAGCTAGACGACCCAACCGGGGTCACATAGGAGGGGGGGGTTGGACCCCCCTCCTGCGGTTCATGCCTGAGGTATTTTTATCGCGAGAAGGGTACAGCAATCCCTTCCCTCGCGACTTACGAAGTCGATTATGGTTTACTTACAAACGAGCTTTGCAGCGCGTCGCTTTCATCCTAGACCAGGATTTATTTAGTGAGAAAAAAACTCTCGCTGTCGGGACTCGAACCCATGACCTGGCCCTTAGCAGGGTGCGAGGCTACACCCACTAGACCACCGGGGCGACCGGGGTGCATACATTTGTACCAAAAAAGTACATGGCACTGCTGCTGTAAAAACGTAACAACGACATGCGTCTCTATACTGGTATTTGTACGCAACAGCCATGTTTCTTGCTTCTCACCTGCTCCTTTGCGTGGTTCTCAGAGCTGCCTCCTTTCACCAGGTCGAAGTACAGCATGAGAATAATCCGCGACTGCTGCAGGGTGGTGAGCTCGCCAGTCTTGGGCCTCAGTGATTGCACAGAGTCCTCGACAAACTTCAGCGCGAGAGGGGGAAGCTTGGAAGTCGNCGCTGCAGGGTGGTGAGCTCTCCAGTCTCGGGCCTCAGTGATTGCACAGAGTCCTCGACAAACTTCAGCGCGAGAGGGGGAAGCTTGGAAGTCGCCGCTTCAGCAGCCTTGCTGACACGATCCTGCTCTCGCCGTTCACGCTGCTGTTGAAGCACGTCTGACCTCGCGATGTCCCGCGCGAGCTTCTCCCTGTCCCTGGCCACTGACGCCTTCATGGCCTTTACCTCTTCTTTCTTGGCCGCGAGAGCTGCTTCGGCAGCGGCAGTGGCCGCCTCTCTTTTCTCCATATCATCCAGGCGCTTGTTCATAGCCTTTGCATTTCTCGCGGCCGCAGCGTTGGCCCCCTTGATCGCTTTAGGTGGACGGCCGCTGGTGCCTCCTGTCGGTACCCGTCTACCACGCTTGGTCATGGTGGGTGCTGGATTGGCCCGGTGCCTGGCGTGGACGGCGAGTTGCTCTACAACGGCCGGCTCAAATTCAAAAAAAAAATTGGCGTTGTACGCGCCATGTATTAGGAGAAACAAATATACACACAGAAAGACTACCCGTTCGAGGTATAACTACACTCGAAGGGGATGTGTTGAAGTCTTTACAGTGAGTAGAGGAAAACCAGCTGGGTACTTGACTTATTTCGAGTTTGTTTAAGCCTATACACTGATGATTTATATCAGTGATACCAGTTGGTGCTTAGCACAAAAACATCTGCGTAGGTACATTTACATGTGGCCTGCACAGGTTGAGCGTTCAGCACGTTGGGTTCTATTTCAGAACCTAACTTTTTTTCCCGAACCGCAACAAGTATGCCCGCTTGAAAATTGCTGCCATGAAGTGCCTGCTTTTGGCGCCGTTCACTTCGTGCTGTGACTGTTCGATGGGCATGAAACCAGCGCCATTCGACAGCTGATGTAACAGGCTTTCTGTTGAACCCACCCAGTGTGTGTGTTGCTCGATTATTGCGTGCAAAAGTTGCAAAAGAGTGTGTGTTTTTCTATCAACTTCGCGGGAGAGAGCATTTTGACAGAAAAAAAAATGTATTGAGAGAGCACGGGAAGTGCCCAATTTGGTCTTGATTATTGTGTTCCACCCAACGTAATAGTAGTAATTGAGTTGGGCATCCTGTCGTCGATTTGGGGCAGTAGCTAGTCTAGAGGATTAACGGGAGGGAGAACATGGGTCGTTATACTATAGCTGTAGTTCATAGCACTTCAGCTGTAATGCCACTGGTCGAACATCGCCCTTATTATTAGTCTGTGCCAACATCCCGAGTCGTTTTGGATCCATCTTACTCCTCTGTTGCCTGCGGCCCCGCGGAACAGAAAGGGCATGTTTGTTTGGTTCGCAAACCGCTTCCCTCCTGTTTGTACAGCTCCTCTTCTCTCCACGTTACGCATTCGGCGGTACAAACAAACGTATTTAATAGACACGTTTCACAAGACTGCGCTGTAGTTTGTGGAAGGAAAACGTCCCGTCTGGGCTTCTCTATTGTTCACAACAACACCGAAAAGAGTGCCGAGATCGAATACTACAGCAGTAGTATTTGGTTATGGTAGGAGGCCTCTTTGTGAACATTATTACTCACCGAGAGGAACTCTGTGTCCTTGCCCCCGTTCCCGCTGGAGCTGAAGAGGACGAGTTAGGGGTATACCCGTGTGTATGTCAAGTGACCTCCACGATCTCCATCGGTCGAGCTTTTCTCGACAACCAGCATGAAGCACGCCCCGGAGGCTCTTGTTGTCTGTTGTGGGCTCCTCGTTGCCGGGTCTCTAGGACAAGACAGCGACGACCTCCCATCAGTTGTTGATGACAGGTACGCCGTTGCTACTCTGTGTATGCAACGAACCATGTTATATACGTGCGCCTTGTTGGCGCCGGGTTTGTGGCTGGTGGTGCGTGCTGTGTGCCTGATGATACGTACAGTTGGTGATATTGTTTTCCTTGCTTATGCAAAGGATACTGCATGCCGTCAACGTAGTAAGTGTCTTGAATCTTATGTGAGTAAGCATTTTTCATTGTTTTACGAGAATAGCTTCGCAAGCAAAGGTTTTGGTCGCTGTGGCAACCTATTTTTTCACCGTCAAGGCTGAACCTACCTTTCTTTGGTGGTGGTTGCATCGTGAACTATTGCTCAACGCTCAATGTTGCGCTCGTCGATTCAAAGCCGTCCTTCAGACAAACCCTTATGGGCACGATCGATTGTTCGTTACGGAACGCTTCCGGTTGCCCGGTACCCACGTCGTTGTTCGCTCAAAGCGTCGATTATCTCTGTTGTGGGTTGTTCTTTTCCCCGGGTGGACCGTTTTCTTTCCTCGCCGTCACGTATCTACAGTACACGACGGGTATTGCGGAACATGTAGGCCAACGGTAAGCCGTCACCTCGCCGCGCTGTTGTTCCCGATGTGGCCAATACAAAGCTAAATAGGAGAAATCGTCCTCAGGCCACAACCTATGGCGTTGAGATGCCCTTCGGTCCATGCACCACCATGCTGTCGTGTGTGGTAAGTAATTTGATTGACATTTACTATCGGCATTGCCCTCTGCAGACAGTGAGGACGCTGTGGACTGTTGAGGGGAAGATCTCAACTCGTTCGAATACGTCGTCAGCTGACACACCCCCTCGGCCGTTCTCGCTTTCGAATCGCTGCGCAGATTCATGCTTAGCCAAGTTTACTCGCACATGCACGTGAGCGGCGGACCAACGCAGACGCTACTATCTCCGTGCTTGGACCATGTGCTTGTGTTCGGTAAGGGGTCAAAGCTTTGGTAGCCGCGCTGTCAGTGTTACCACTGGATCAAGCATGTCTTCATTGCTCTAGAACCTTCCAGACATTAGCGTGTCTAGCTGTATAACGTATCTCGCTGTAGAACACAGCGGAGTTGATGGGTGAAGGCAACGGAAGTTGTCATCGTTGACGCCCTGTCTGGATGGCAGTTCGCCTAAAGACAAGTAAACCTACGCAGGCGCTGGGATTACTGAACGCTGGTAGACGTAGCTGCAATAAAACCAACAACGCTGTCCTGCAGATGACGCCACAACGTCAGGGAGGAAAAAAAAAGGAGAAAGAACGGCATGTTGTGGAGGAACAAAGAAATGAAAAGGGAAGGAAGCAAGCCCGTTTCTCCTAGCTTCGGTTACAGTCCTAGCTCCGTTGTTTAGAGGGTGGTGTGACAAAGGCACTCGACCCTCTAATATCGGGGCCCCCTCTTATAAGGTACTCTCTTATAACGGAGCCACGCATGTACTCACAGGTGTTGTTTGACCTCTTGTTTTTAGCCTCCTTGGACCAGGTCCGCTCAGCGCTTACTCGGAGAATGCGGAAGCGGGGCTGGGATTATGATCTTCCTCAAGCTACGTCAATACCCCACAATGGCGCCAAATATCTATAATAACGACAAATCAAAATATGTGCTGGTATCCATTAAGCGCTCATGCAATGCTCATACCCATGCTCTACACTAGTTGCTCCATTACGCTGCTTTTTCTCAGGGAAAGCGGGGCATGTGAAGATCTACCCTGCTCCTGAATCAGCTCACACGCACGGGTCGTGGGAGATCTTAGTGGATATTAAGGACGACGTCAACACGTGGGGGGTGAGCCCCTTGACCTAGCATGTGCTGATGATGTGATCTGAAACCCACCGTGATGCTGCCCAATTATTTCTGTCGTCATCTACCCTTTGGTCTTGCTTTGTCGAGTGGACAGTTCGAGGATAGCCACGTACAAAAACGAGTTGTTGCTCGACACCTCCTTTCCCACTGTTTACCCTCATTTCCACTGTGCACAGGATCACGGGCTTTTGAGCTCCCAGCTACACCCAGACTTCCCGGCAGGGCCCTACCTGTTCCTCTTTTTCTCTGTCGCACCCGAAGGATGGTGAGCGGGCGGAGGTTTCTGTTGCCATGCTGGTGGTGGTGGTGGAGGTGGTGGTGGTACCGCTGCTGCTGCTTTTGAGGTAGTATTGAGGTAGTATTCATGCGTGGGTGCTGTCTTGTAATAATGCGGTCAAACAGAAAAGTTGCCTAGAGTCTCCTTGTTCCTTTGCTGATTCCTTGCTGGATTCAAGCATATAGTTGGGCGCGCGGGCGTGTGCCTAGACCCAACGTACAGGTTTGCACTACTACCAAAGCACGATATCGACGTAGAAGTAGCTATCGCCTTCTTCTTATGCGCTTGCTTGCCCACACTTCGCACAATGAATCTCTTGCTGAGTCTCCCATGCGTTTTGAGTGCTGTCAGACAGCAAGCACTCTTTTTTTTTTTTTAACTCCGTTTTTTTTTGGCGGTAACCATAATAGTGGTCGAGTAGATCATGTTGTGCGGGGTCGAGATACCTCACTCCGCGCAAGGGGGATGATCGCACCACGTTGTGTTAAAATGATCAAGCACGCTCGAGGCAGTTACACAGTGCTTGCAGCTGTCTCAGGAAGTGAAAGCACCAGAAAATAAATAAAGTCATATGCATGCGCAGCTGTCATCCGTCCGCAAGGAAGCACAAGATGCCGAAAACCCTTAGCAGGATGCAGCGCACCCTTCATGTGACTCGCCGAATATCTCACGGCGCTCCGCGCTTGGTGATGTGAGAGCCTGGTCCGGTGAGGACCCGGCGTGCTCCGTCCCGGCTTTGTAGGGATGCGAGGTCAATGGTCTGACGACTACGGCATGCACGACTATGAATACACCCCCCCCGTGACCAAGACGCCTGCAGCGAAATCACGACACAATATGACTTCTACAATGGCAGGGTGGGACGGTGCGAACGCATCGTCAAGGACTGCCCTACTGCGAGCAGAACGCGGTGTTGGAGCGTCAAAAGATCGACGGAACCGTCCATGATGACGGCACGTGTAGCGACTGGTCGTTCTCTGACTCCGAAAATAACCGGGTGCGGCTTGTGGAAGACTGGTGCTCCTCGGGAGGCGCGCACCACAACGCAGCGATGGAGTTCTACACAGACGGATCCCTTCTGGTTGCCAACGGAGATAGCTCGCAGGCCCCCTTCGACAGAGGTGAAAGGCAACATTATATCAAGTTGTGTAATCCATTTGCTCGTCCGTGTTGCTCTTCTTCCGTCGTCCAGCACAATTGTTTCTTTGTTTTTCGTTCCATCTGGAAGGCTTGTATCCTGTTTTTGACAGACTAGGATGAACCGTCGTTTTCCCGTCGCGTCGTGGTTTCAGCTTCCAATAACTCGATGGATTGACTTCCGGCGTCAAGCTGGCCAAGACATAGTGGCAATCCGCGCGTCGATGTGGGCAAAAAGCTCAGCAGAGACAGATGTAAACACCTTCCATCATGCCTCACCATATTTATCCCGCTCGCAATTTTCGGTGAAAGGGCAGTGGCCCCTGCAAACAGAATCCTGACCAACAATGAACTCTGGCTCACAGTCACAGTTTCGGATCTGAATTGATGTTGTGCTTTGCATGGTCCGGCTTGTTTTTTGGTCCTCCGAGGAAAGAACAATGATGGGGTTCAACCGTTACCTTACCTTACGTTTCTCTCTTGCCTGCATCGGTGTGCCTCCTGAAATCGATGTTTTCTTCTTTCGGGATCGGAAATAGGTTCGTTGATGTTGACGATGATATCTCAGTCATATCAACATGTGGTCACTAGTTTCGCACCTCGCCGATTCGTTCCATGGAAATCGTCGAAACCGCAACGGCCAAATGACAACAACAACGTCAACAAAGTTTAACAGCACTTCCTCGATAGACGGACTCTCACTACAAGAGAACACGAAGTTTGTTGTTTCTCACCGTTTATCAGTGTTCTGGTATCTTTACCTAAGCTGGTTCCACGAGATCTAGAAAGACGTCATCGTCCCCAACTCGACCCTGAATGCTGCATCCCTCCGTGCGCGCTTCGCTGATAACGCTCGGATTCCGTACCTCAGGTTACCCTGCAGAAGATGGAACACCCGTTGATCTGTGCTATCTGGATGACAGGAAGCAGCCGCAGGGGTACTTCAAGGCCCAGAACGAAGCATTCCTGCAGGTGACCGCTGTCATTTTCCCTCTTGT